TCCTTCCTTCCCTCTCTCCCCTGCCAAGTAGCTACACTCACAACCCACTTTGTTGTGAAAAACTTAAAGATTCCTAGGACGCAGTGCGGCAGCGCCACCCCTCGGTGGGTGAAACTATTTGTAAAAGTCAAATATTTGAAAAATACTGTGAAATGACATTATGAGACTTAGTTGTTTTTTTTTTCTTTAGGAAAAAGATAAAAGTAACTTAAAAATACTTTGCAGCTGATCTTTCAAATAGGGAGGAAAAACTTTTTCAGTTAGGCTGTTGTCATAGGCAAAGTAGTTGTGTGTTCGTGTGCGCGCGCGTTTGTGTGTGTTTCTGAGCGCGGGCACGCGGAGAAGGGACGGAGGCAGGAGTGGGGAGGGTTACCTAGCTGGTTTTAAGTGACGAGCTTTTGTGGAGAAGGTCCCCCTTAGGATTTGACTTCCTAGGGCATCTGAATTGTGCTCCCTTGTCTGACGTTGAGATATGGAGGAATGCTTTGATATAGAACACCAGTGACTGCAGTTTTACTGGTAGTGATGGTCTCGTTTGTGGGGGTGGTCTGGGGAGGGAAGTTTGTGGGCGGTGTCGGGCCATGGTAAGGTGATCTTTAGTTGGGTCTGGATCCCCTGGGAGTTCAGGCAGCGTGGCGTGTGCCGATTTCCTGCACTGCGCAACAAGTGGGAATGTTGCCTCAGTGATCAGAGCGAGGGTGCCGTGTTGTGCCAAAGCTAACCCCTTGCTGTTCGCCCCCAAAGAAAGCCGGGAACGGCTCCTCCCAACCTTACCCACCTCCCAGTCGGAGACCAGCAGCCCCACCTAGAGACTAGACCCATCTCTCCACCCCAATCCGGCTTTGCCGAAAGCTGTGAGCCTGGGTGGGATCCTGCCCTTGGCCTCCAGGGCCCTTTTTTTCTCCGTTGGTCAACAGAGTTTATTCCGGACTTTTCTTTGCTGGAATCTGTGCCGATAGCATCTAGTGACATTCCACTTTTTGAAGACAAGTGTACCCCTTCTTCTTCCCAATGCATTCATCAGCCTTTCGGACAAGAAAAAAAAAAGGGCGACATAAAACACCTGAACGCAGCTATGGTCGTTAGAGGCATAAGCGTCAGGAAGAACGGAGTCATACTCAGTGAATTAAGTGTTTTTATGCGTTGGCTCTGGAGGTGAACCCCCCCTTCCCCTAGAAGATAAAAAAAAAAAAAAAAAGGTGGGGGCAGTCGGGTATGTAAACTGTGGCCTAGAGGTGATTGTTTTTGGACGGGCAGAGTCTGCCACCTAGTGGTAGGTCCTGGTCAAGCTCCCCGCTTTGGGCAATGGGCTGACGGTGTCACCTTAGGGTGCCACATTATCCTGAATTGGTGCTAGAACTGTTGGGGGTGCGGGGCGGCACCTTCCAGAGAGGATGTTATCTGACTTCCATCCAGAGTTCTGGTAGGGTGCACGAAAATTAGAAGCCCCCTGATGACCGCATTTTTCATGGTCGCTCAGCAGAAAGCTTCTGTTTTCACTAAGACCCATGAAATAACCCGCAGCGAACACAAACTCTCCATGTCTCTGTCGCTGTGGCCTCTTCAGGGGATGTCAATTGTAAGGCATGTTATGAGGCTCTTTAAGAGTGAGAAACACAGTTGGTGAGGGGCCTTTTAGTAGTGAATTAGTGACCTAACCAGGACCAGATTTTAAGCTTCTGGATTCCAGGTCAGTGACTTAAAGTCAAAGGTGAATTTATCTCGGCCCCTTTGAGGCATGTAAGAGAAAGGAGCAGCTGTCTGATCCTTATCTTAACCTCTTAGGTTTCCATAGTTGGAAACTGTTCTTCAGTTGTCTTGGAGGAGTTTAGGAAGTACACCCTAAAATTTTCAGTAACAGAAAAAGCCTACTGTATTGCTGACGACTGGGGGTCTCCGATCTTGGGGCTGGGGGTCTGGTCCGTGTGTTAGGGGTGTTAAGACCCAGTCTCTAGACTTGCAGATATGTGACTTGCTGTGCCAGACACTCACATTTGAATTCTGAAATCACTCAGTTCCCCTCCCTTCCAAACTTTGCTTAGTGGCTTGGCAAGAAATCATTTGTGTGTATGTGTGTGTTGGGGGGTGGGGGGTGTCATATGGACGGCAGAGTGTAATTCTCGTAGAATTTGTGCCACAACAGCTTCTTAGCAAAGTTCTCTTTCTTGAGCTCCAGACTTAAATGGTAATTGCGCACACGCGTGTTGGCGGCCCCTAGCGGCGGCAGCGGTGCTCACGCGCGGTAGACTCCGAGGTCTCAGCCGCTCTAGTCCGGCGGGATCGAATTCAGCTTTTCCTACTGCGGAAGCTGTTGGAGGCGGCGTCGGAGAAACGCGCCTCTGTTCGTGCTGGAAACGTATCTGGCTTGGAAACGTGTTTGAAGAGCGGTGAAGTTTGACTCATCGCTTTCCAAGGACAGTTAGTGCCTTCCATCTTCATTAACGTGAATAAAGACCTTGGCTGACTTTTGTCCAGATTGTATTTTTAAAGCCATTGTTAGTTTGGGGAGATCATTCCGCTCTCCTCCCTCCTCCCTCGCCACTTTTTTTTTTTTTTTGCAAAAGGCTGAGCCGGGTCCTGTCAGGATGACTGAGATATCTGTGCTGGATACTTGGTTTGCTAGCATTGTCTGCCGGCTCCTTCTGGAAGGCTGTCGCGAGCCGGGAGCATGGAGAGCGTCCCTTTTGCAGTCTGCATCTCCCCTTCAGATCTTGATGATAAAACACATCCCTTTATTTTATTGCATTTCCTAGAAGCTTGCAGGCTTGCAAGACCGCTGTTGGCAGGAAACGCGATAGAAATGAAAGTTAGGACATATTGTCCCCAAACACCTCGGTCACCCCAAGCGACTACCGAGGCCACCACATTATCAAATTCGCTTTCATCTACTGTGGTCTCCCCACCTTACCACCCCCCCAAGTCAAGAGCGCGAAGTGTTACCTCCTAGAGCAAAAACAACTCGGTGGCTGACCCCACCCCCTGCCGCCACACCACTGTGGCTAGACCCCGGCAGCTCTCGAGCTTGAGTGGTTTCGGAGAGAGGGCTACGACCAGAGCCTTGAGGCAGGTTGCACTGCAGCAGCTCCAGCCTTACTAAAATGCTTCGGACCTGGTCTACACCATGCTTTGCACCTCCTGACTCAGCTCTGGATTTTTTTCAGCGAATTATTGGCGTTATTAGATTACCAATAATCCGAAAACCGACCGGGATAGAAAAGGGGGCGGAACGAAGGGCGCAGGGCGTTTTCCAAATCTGGAAACTGTCTAAACTAGGTCAATGGGAAGGAGAGGCGGGGCGACTGGGCGGGTGTCTGTTTCAAGCATTGGTGTGGGGCTCCCTCTAGTGGTCAGCAGCGATAAAGAGAGAGAAGGTTTGAGTTTGAGTTTCAGAAACCACGGATTCCTAATTTCCAATAAGTGCATTTATTTCATTTTAACCTCCCTTTCTAGATTCGCAACCCACTCCCTACTAGATTTCAAGCCTCGTTGTCACCTTTATCCCATCAGCGAAAGGATGAGAAAGCCTCAAAGTAGGATTTTATGAGTCCTAAGAAGCCTGGTCTTTATAAAGACGGACCCGGATTCCGCCTCGCCACTTAGTTGCGCGGCGCGGAGTGACGCCACGGCCAGTTTTAGGACCTGACTGTGGCCTTAGAAGTTGCGTCGTTCGAGACCCCCACCCCACCCCCCAGGTCCCCAGAGCGCCTCTCTCACTCCTGTACTGAAACGTATTAAGCGAAGGCGCCTGGGGGGTGAGGACTCCCGGGAAAGTCACGCGGAGGCGAGGCAACCGCTGAGCGCACCCGTGCGCGCCTCTGCCTAAGCCTAACCGAGTCTATGTGGGTTCGGAGAAATCGGATTGGAAAATCCGGAAAGCTGGCCCGCCTGGGCCTGGCGGCTCCTATTCTGAAGACGTGGGGCGGAAACCGAGCTGAGTTGGGTTTCCCTTCTTGCCAACGTAGGCGGAAGGAACTTTCGGTTTAGTTTTCCTCTAACTTTGCTGGGGCACCCGAGATGGAGACCTCCGGGCCTAGGGAGTCCATCTTTCCCACCTCGAAGCTTCCTAGAGACACCCCTTTAAAAACAGAATAGGGGCCGCCCGAGGTGGGGTGGGGGGATAGAGGGCGCGAGAGAAGGGCTGGGCGAGGGAAACTGGAAGCGTCGGGGATGAGGCGCAGACGAGGTATTTCGGGGACAGTGTGCCCCGTTCTCCGCGAGCCTGCTCCTCCTCCGTCCCGGGTGAATCCCCAGCGTCCCGCACGGGGCAGGCAGCGATCCTGGCGGCCGTCTGGGGCCGGCAGCTTCCTGGAAAGTTACTTCTCGTTGGAGCCGATGATAGGCAGAGAGTGTTCTGTGAAATCCGCTGAGCTGAGATCGACGGCGTTCCGGGAATGAGAGGGCTGTACCATTCCCCTCACTGCCCCCAGTCCTGGCGGCGTAACAGGAAAAAAAAGGCACACACAATGTTCGCTCCCGAGGTGCGCGAAAACTTTTATTTGAATGTAACCAAATTAAGGGCCGCCTCGGTCCTATCGCGGGACCGGCGCCGCGCCTGCGGGGGGTGTGGAGGTGGCCGGGCCGGGACGCCCGCACAACGCCCGCGGGGGGCGGCGCCTGCGGACAGGTACGGTGCGGCGCGGGGGCGCGGGAGCGCGGGCTCGCGCTGGCGCGGGGCTCAGGTGTGTGCCCGGCAGTGAGCGAGACTTTGAGGCTACCTCGTGGGAAAGGCCGGGCAAGGAGGGGTCTTTCGGATTGGCTCTCGCTCTTGCTCGTAACCTCCACTCGCCCTTCGCTCTTCTGTTTTGTCTCCCTCGCCAGAAAGCTTTTCTTTTTCCCCCCCTTCTGTTTGCCATTTTTTATTTTAAAGAGGGTAAGGGAGGTGCCTTTTTTTTTCTCTCTCTCTCTAACTTCTCTAAAGGACCTACTCTCTCTCCTTCAGGTGTCTAATTGAAACTCCAAGGGAGAGAAGGGCAGCGGGGGGGGGGGGGGGGGACGGTGGGGCAGGCATCCTTAAACTCTCACTTAGTGGTTGCTGCTGTGGCTGGGGCAGGCTGGGGGAAGTCCAGGGTTGGAGCCGTCGCTTCTCAGTTTCTCCCTAACTGCCCTGCTCTCCGGGCTCTGGTGTTTGTGCACCGAGTCCTCTGTGTAGCCTTCGTGGGATGAGTAGAGCTAGCTGACAGGGTTTTTCCATGACTTTGCTGGGAACGAGCTTTGAGATCTGGAGCAAGGCTATCCCTAGAACATTAGGATTCTGGAATATGAAGAGCTCTGATGCAGTAATGGGAAGAGCTAGGTGGTCTATTAAAAAAAAGAAAGAAAGAAAGAAAAACTCTCGAGAGTTCGTGGTATTTCCACACCTGCAGCATCTAAAAGGGAGGTATCCTTGCCCACCCAAACCCACACACTCACTAGTTGCTGCAGAGTTAGTTTAGGAAGGAGTGGACTTCCAGAGGATTTGAATCTCAATGTCCATACCCTTGTCTTTGGTGAGACAGAGGTGTAGGGGGAAAAGCGCCCAGCCCAGGGGCTGGCTGACAGTGGACTCAGGGGAATTGTTTGTTTGTTTCAATTCGATCTGGAGTGAGTCATTGCCACTTGTCAAGGTGAAATGGCAAATCTGGGCTTCCTGTGGTTCCGAAAGTCTGTGACTGGAAATCCACAAGCAAGCTAGTGGTTGAAACTGGTTAAAGGGCAGCAGTAGGTATTCCAGAAGTGTTCAGGGATTCTCCATGAGGGGAAAGGAGAGGTTTAGAAACCTCACCTGTGTCTTCAGCATTATTTTTCAAAGGAGACAATCATCGAATAGTTTGATGAGGACCAATTTAGTGGCTCTCTTCACCCATCCTAAGGTAGAATGGGGAGAGGAGGAAATAGGTTCTTTTGTCTTTTTCTGTCCTCTCCCTTCCCCCATCTTCTTCCCCCGTCCCGACTCACTCACATGCACACACTAACCTTGAAGCCGATGAGATTGAGTGACTGGCACTTGGGACCACAGAGAAATGTCAGAGTGTTTGGTTACAGACTCAAGGAAACCTCCCATTTTAGAGTGCTCATTTGGTAAGACTCAGCAGCCTGGAATGGGGGCAAAGTGTTTGTGTGGGGGAAGGAACTTAAAAATGAGATTCACCCACATCAGGGTGCTGTCCTGCATGTTGTACAGCACGTAGGCTGATTTGGAAAGGGGACAGGAATTTGAGCCAGAAGACTAGGGGCCAGGCCACCCTCCATCCATGTGGCCTAATATGACCTCCTTGGCCTCAGGCCCCTTTACTCAGAAAACAGTTCTAAAAGACTAGACTCTTTAAAAAGGAGAGAGGGGAAGGGTTCAAATATTTTGTTTTGCAGCTCACATATGGACCTAAATAAGAGCCTTACACCTGTGCTTTACATTATTTAGTTTTGGAGAAATCCCCTGGAGAGGGTACATTTTTGTGTGTGCTCTCTGGCCAGTTCTCAGCTCACCACACAGTTAAATCTTTCACCAGGCGGGAGAAATACAAACTTGGAAGTTGGTAGCACTGTATGTGGTCTTAGACCAAGAAGGGAAGGGAGAGGAAACTTTGAAGAAGACAAGGATTCTCAAGAAAAGCATGGCTTTGCCATCTCAGGCTGTATTCTGCAGAACCCATACTCAGTCTCATGTGCTTTGGATAGTCAGGAAACCCTACCTGGCTGTTGTTCCTGAACAAACCCCTTGAAGCCCCCAACTCTCAGTCAGTCTTGTCACTTGTGAACGAGGGATAAAGACATTGACCCTGTCAGCCTTGCAGAATCATTCTAAGACTTGAAAGATACTGTTTAGTAGGTTCTGAAAAACAACTAGGGCCCCTGGATGACCATCCTCATTAATACTGAAAGAACCACTTTTCTTATTTTTTCTTTCACAAAGACTCAAGTGCCCTTTGTATGTTCTAACATTTTGCTTTGAGAAAGGAAATATATGTGTATATTTATATGTTGTCAATGTATACAGTTGTAGTCCCAGTACTCAGGGTAAAAACATTATCGCAGAGCTTCGGGTAGCTGTTGTTTCTGTAAAAGCAGATCTGGGAAAATGTTTGCTAGCTTGTGGGTAAAACCACACCAGCTGGTAGACTGCAGCTATCAAAGTAACGATAAGTACATGTATCCTAAAATAAGATGACAGTGGACAATCTTACATTCATTAAATCAATTTCTGTTTGCTTTCTTCTCTTCCCTGCAGATTTTAAGCAAAATTTGGGACTCTGAATCAAGGCATTGGGTAAGCAGATCGAATTATATGCTTTCAAATGTTGCAGGCAAACGTTTTTCTTTTGAATTTGCCAGTGCATGAGTTTCTGTGAACTTGGCCACTTTTCATTAAATGAGATAAAAGCTGATTCCCGCTCTGTCTCTCCCAGGCCTCACCCATTCACCCGTGCATTAGATTCTCTTAACATGTGTGTGACCATTTGTTGTTTACTCATTTCTTAGTTCCAGTTAATTTAGTCACCTACGATACACAAATAACATGTCAGGTACATTGAAACCACTCTAAAGCCCAGTAGAGGATACTGACAAATGGTGAATGGGGCCATGGCATGAGCTGTTAAGGATGACGTGAGAATACCTGACCTACTATGGACCTGGCACACAGTTTTAATTTTTACATCCTCATAGGTATTACTACTCCCATTTTGGGAAAGCAAAGCTCAGAAGCAGGTTGCCCCAGGTTACTCAGCTAACAAAAGGTAAAGTTAGCTTGCCCACCTTCAAAGTGTGGAAGTGTGGTTCTCCCCCTGTGATGCACATACTCCCTCTCAAAGCTGGCAGGGTATTTGGTGCATGAGAAAACACTCAACAAAATACTCAGTCTCCTCCCTGAAGGACTTTCTATTCCCATAGATTTCTATTCTTATAGATGTAAAGAATAATGGACCTTGAATTGTTCAAAGCTTATCACAGGGGACCTCAGTTTGCATCTGACGTGTTAGCAGGCTGAATCACCTGTTTTCAGACAAGCGGAAGCAGGCTTGGAGGATTAACAGAGTTTTCATCTTTTTTTTTTTTTTCTTTTTAGATAAAGACAAAATGGCATCACCGGCGGACAGCTGTATTCAGTTCACCCGCCATGCCAGTGATGTACTCCTCAACCTTAATCGCCTCCGGAGCCGTGACATCTTGACGGATGTTGTCATAGTCGTGAGCCGAGAGCAGTTTAGAGCCCATAAGACAGTCCTCATGGCCTGCAGGTGAGGGGTCCGGAAGGGAAAAGTAGATGACTAAAAGGACGTAGGAGGGAAATCTGTAGGCCTTTTGCTGTTGGGGTTGCGTCTCACTGATCTCCAGATCTCGGTGTGTGGCTTATCAGCATCGGTCCCAGGAAGAGCACACCTACTTTTATTAAAGAGTTTGTGTTTTGTGGGAATCAAAAGAGAAGAAATCATATACTATCTCAAGAAGGGGTGTGTTTGGGGACAGAGATAGAGAATAACTTCATTAGCCAATCTAAAAGTGAAGCATGCAGAGAGTCCTGAAACATTTTAGGCAAGTTATTTTGAAATGTATTGCTCTTTTATTTTCCATATGTATTTTGTGTTAGAACTATTTTCATACATGTTTTCAGAGCACATGTAAGTTGGTGAGTGTGAGCCAGCTGATTCTTCATATGTATCAAGAACTTCACATGTTTAGGACAATTTTATATCATACCGCCTGGGTCTGCACAGTAGCCCCCTCTGTTATGGGTGACATGGTTACCTCTATTTTCGAGATGGAGATGTAGACAGCAAAAATGATGCAAAGTTAGGGATCTCTGTGGCTTGTGAGACCTCACTCAACATCTACAACAAGCACCTGCATTTCAGTTGAAGTGAGAAAGGCTTATAGGATTGTGAAAATAATAGTGAATGCTAATTGAGTGCTCGGTATCAGTCTATACCTTCTGTGTTTTCATTCTTGCCTCAATCCAATGAGATAGGCACAGTTCATCCTGCTTTGCACATAGAGAGTTAAGTATATTCCCTAAGGTTGTGTAACTCTTTACTGCCTGAAGTCTGGCTCATAGCTGGCAATTCTCTCAGAGTAGCACTGACATGACACCCAGATTCCTGGCTTGTAACAGGATACATGCTTCTGTAGGCACCTGGGTCGGGGAGGCATGACCAGCAATTTCACTTGAATCATCTAGAATATTGACCTATCGTCTACTGACTTAGAAAATCAGTTGACTATAGATGTAGGCATCATTTTACCGATTTGTCATCAATATCTAATTGACTTCTTAAAAAAAATACAACTGCGGGGCCCTCCCTGGTGGCGCAGCGGGTTAAAGCACTGCACTGAGAAGCTAAAGCCGCTTCCGCATGAGTTTGATTCCCGCCTGCCCCGGAGGTGACCACATGGCGTGGCAGACCTCTCCTGACCCGCCCGCTGCTCCCCTCAGCAGTGTACTTCGTCCATCTGCCTGTTCTGCTCCCCACTCTGTGTCTGGTGAATCCTCTCACCGCCCACACCTCTGGACTGTACCCCAGTTCTGTATGCATCAATAAATATATCTTTAAAAAATAAAATAAAAATAAAAAAAATACAACTGCGGCCCTCCCTGGTGGCGCAGAAGGCTAAAGCACAGCACTAAGAAGCTAAAGCCACTTCCGCATGAGTTCGATCCCCACCTGCCCTGGAGGTGACCACATGGCGTGGCAGACCTCTCCTGACCCACCCGCTGCTCCCCTCAGCAGTGTACTTCATCGATCTGCTCCCCACTCTGTCCCTGGTGAATCCTCTCACCCTCCACATCTCTGGCCTGTACCCCAGTTCTGTATGAATAAATAAATAAATCTTTAAAAAAAATACAACTGCATTTAAAAAATAGGATAATGTATAGAACTAGGAGGGGAATGCTTAATTCAAAGCTAGAGACTGAAAATGGTTACTGCAAATGAGTGCTAAATTTAACTCTGGTGATCCACACAATTAGCACTAATGGGAAAACAAGGTCTTGTGACTTTTGAGAAAATCACTTCACCTCTCTGATCTTCCTCCTCTTTGTAAAGAGGGAGGATGATACTATCTACCGTGTAGTTTGTGAGGAAACAGGATGTATGTACATGACTCCCTGGTATTTAGTGAGAGTTGTTAATTGCCAAGCTCTGGAGTTTGGCCCACGGGAGAGGGGCTGAGCTCTGTCCCGCCTTAACAGTAATTGATCCAGACTCTACATGTCTGTTATAGTGAGGGATTTTTTTTTTTTTTATAGTGGCCTCTTCTACAGCATCTTCACAGACCAGTTGAAATGCAACCTCAGCGTGATCAATCTCGATCCCGAGATCAACCCGGAGGGGTTCTGCATCCTTCTGGACTTCATGTATACATCCCGGCTCAACCTGCGAGAGGGCAACATCATGGCTGTGATGGCCACAGCCATGTACCTGCAGATGGAGCATGTTGTGGACACTTGCCGGAAGTTTATCAAAGCCAGGTGAGTGACATCTGGAAGGAAACCTTGGCATTTCAGGGGATCAGAAAGCCTTGATAACTCATGTGTGCTGAACAACTCTTCTGGTATAGGCCAGAGGGACTAGTGGAAGTGCTACATTTCCACGAATTTTGTACACTTTGGCCCTTCTTGGCTGTTACGCTCCAGGCAGATTGGACACTTTGCTGCTCTTCAAACCAGTCCTGTGCATTCCCACCCTTTGCTGCCTTCCATCCACTTGATCTGCCCTTCCTTCCACTCATCCTTAAAGGCCAAGTGTGGATGCCAGCTCCTTCATGGACATTCTTAGGCTTCTCATTCTCCTCCCTCAGCTTTTCCTCTGTGTTCCAAGGCCTCTTTCTAACCTCCACACTGTCCTTCCAGTTTAACTATTTGAATGTATGCTTTAGTTTTCCTTTGGACTTCTATCATAAATATTTACACGTGTGTCTTAGTAGCCCTGCCAGACTGCAGGCTGGTATGTCACCAGACCTTTTATGTCACTCTTACATTACTCTTATCAGAGAGGCATTTTTTGAGTTAGTTAAGTTCACTTAGCTGTGGCTAATCCTACCTGAAGGCTAGTAAAGACACACCCATCATTTAAAAGTAAGCAACCTGAGAATCAAAGCGAAGAGCTTGGCAAAGGAACAGAGACTCAGGGCTTTCCTTCTTTAGTACCATTTGCTTCAGCTGCTCTAGGATGGTTGCATCGAACCCCTGAACACCGCCAGAAGCCAGGAACTCAGTGTTCCACAGCTGTGCAGCTTCCCTGGGACAATCAGGAAGCTCCTCTTTATGACAAGTTGAAATCTGCCTCCCCTTAACCTTCTCATCGGCTCTAGCTCTGTTAACTGTGAGGATGTCGAGCTGGCCTGTTTTTTGCCCACCTAATGTCCCTTCAGATATATGCAGCTTTTCGTCTCCAGTGGGTGATAGTGGTAGCAAGCTCATCATTGCCATCATTTACGAGTACTTTGTGTGGATCAGGCCTTGTACTTAGAACAGTTAAATAACTTGCTTCAGGTCCCATAACTGCCAAGTAGCACTGCTGGGATTGGAAATCAGGTCTAGCTGCTCCCTAGTTGGGGCTTTTTACCCTGTGGTCTGCTGATCGTTTTGCAAGGTAAACTTCCCTGTGACTGGGCACTGGTCAGCCTATGACCTTCTGGAACTGTGGCACCAGCACTGCAGACATTTTTCACCCCTGAGCCTCTTTCTCTATGTCAGATGGACAGTAATACCTGCTTTTTTCGTCTTTGTGGGAGTTGGCATGAGGAAGAGGAGAGAAGGGCTCTGAAAACTTTGTATAAACTTTGACAGGCTCTATAATCGAAAGAATGACAGGTTCACTCACATGTGTTACTTAACATGCAAGATCATTTCTAAGCAGGCACACATGTGTGGATAACTCACTTTCCTTCTCTGGGCCTACTTTCCCCAACTGTGGGCTACATCAACAGGCTTCGCGCATGAAATCCTCATATCTATAAGTATTCCCTTACTCCCAAGCCACATTCCCTGTGTGGGCTGAACCAGGCACAAATGTGGCTACATATGTCAGTGTCATGTGTTAGGTCATCTTGGTGTCAGTTCTGATTTGGAGGCCGATGTCTCCTCTCTCCTTTTCTCTGCAGTGAAGCAGAGATGGTTCCTGCCATCAAACCTCCCCGTGAAGAATTCCTGAACAGTCGGATGCTGATGCCCCAGGACATCATGGCCTATCGGGGTCGTGAGATGGTGGAGAACAACCTGCCACCCAGGAATGCCCCAGGGTGTGAGAGCAGAGCCTTTGCCCCTGGCCTCTACAGCAGCCTGTCCACACCACCAGCCTCTTATCCCGTGTACAGCCACCTCCCTGTCAGTAGCTTCCTCTTTTCTGATGAGGAGCTTCGGGATGCCCGGATGCCTGTGGCCAACCCCTTTCCCAAGGAGCGGGCCCTCCCCTGTGATAGCGCCAGGTCTGTCCCTGGTGAGTACAGCCGGCCAGCCATGGAGATATCCCCCAGCGTGTGCCACAGCACCATCTACTCGCCCAAGGAGGTGGCCCCAGAGGAGGCACGGAGTGACATGCACTACAGCGTGGCTGAGGGCCCCAAGCCTGCCGCCCCCTCAGTCCGGAATGTCCCTTACTTCCCTTGTGATAAGACCGGCAAGGAGGAGGAGAGGCCCTCCTCAGAGGATGAGATTGCCCTGCATTTCGAGCCTCCCAATGCACCCCTGAACCGGAAGGGTCTGGTTAGTCCACAGAGCCCCCAGAAGTCCGACTGCCAGCCCAATTCACCTACGGAGTCCTGCAGCAGCAAGAACGCCTGCATCCTGCAGACCTCGGGCTCCCCTCCGGCCAAGAGCCCCACTGACCCCAAAGCCTGCAACTGGAAGAAATATAAGTTCATCGTGCTCAACAGCCTCAACCAGAATGCCAAACCCGAGGGACCTGAGCAGGCCGAGCTCGGCCGCCTTTCCCCTCGCGCCTACACTGCCCCACCAGCCTGCCAGCCGCCCATGGAGCCCGAAAACCTTGACCTCCAGTCCCCAACCAAGCTCAGCGTCAGCGGGGAGGACTCTACCATCCCACAGGCCAGCAGGCTCAATAACATTGTCAACAGGTGATTTCAGGGACTGTCTGACCTGGAGTCAGGGTACCTGGGCAGCATTCTGGGTCTTCTTCTAAGAGTTCGAGTGGCTGTGTTCTTTCCTTTCCAGCAGTGCACAGCATAGTAAGGAGTGAACGAAGGGTCCATTAGTTGAATGAATCTAAGTAAGGAGGGATATCAGGCTTGCCTGTATTTTTTCATAGCAAGAGAAGTATCTCCCCTAGATGGTAGCCGAACATTTTCTGAATCCCCAAGGCACCCCCGTGGTCTCATGTGGTGTGCTAGTCCTCACTCATGCCTAAACTGAGAAGGCAGTGGACTGTGGTACTGAGGGCAAGAAACTGGGCCCAGGAGTGGAGTTCTGAACCCCTCAGTATCTTTGTGTGTGTGTGCTGTTTGGGGTGACCCTGTAACCCCAGGTCCAGAGTGGGACAGCCAGTTCTGGCCTTGGCTGGCCTGAGCAGAGGGGGGAGGGGAGCATGCTAAGACAGCCAGTTCTGGCCTTGACTAGCCTGAGCAGAGGGAAGAGGGGAGGACCCTGAGGCGAGGCAGGATGCTCCACTCTGCTCCAGCTTCTGAGGCTCTTTGCTTTTGCCCACAGGTCCCTGACAGGCTCCCCCCGAAGCAGCAGCGAGAGCCACTCGCCTCTCTACCTGCACCCTCCCAAGTGCACATCCTGCGGCTCCCAGTCCCCGCAGCACGCGGAGATGTGTCTCCACACCGCGGGCCCCACCTTCCCCGAGGAGATGGGGGAGACCCAGTCTGAGTACTCGGATTCTAGCTGTGGTGAGTCCCTTTCCAACTCCCCTCCAGGAAGACGGGGGTTCCCGGCCTCTGGCCCTGGGTTTTGTGTTTCCTTTTCATTTCTGCCCTGTCTCCGATTGGAGGGAAACCCCTGTTGGCAGTCCACTGACACTCAAAATCACCAGCTGTTGTCCCCGTCATGGCCTCTTTGGGCCGAGTATGGCAGGGTATGAACCTTAAGGCAGGGTGTGGGGTGCAGAGTTAATCTGGAGCAGGGCAACGAACAGCCTTCGGCTTTGTTCCAGCAACGGTCGCTTGTGGACCTACTTCCCAAAACTTTCTCAGCCCCCTGGACCCAAGCTGCAAACACTGACCCGTGTTTGCCACGCCTGCACGGCTCATCCACTCCGACCTCATCCACTCCGGAGCCTCCCATAGGTCCTAGTGAGTCCTTTGCATGCAGTAGGTGCTCTGTTAATGTTACCTGCACTAGGTTAGTCGTACTGAATTATTAATTGAGGTTTCTGGGTAGTCTGTGCGTGGCAACCCCCGTTTTTACCAGGTAAAAAAGCCTACCCCTTGCCCCAGCTCCAGCTGCAGAAACATAGCCTCATTGTGCCTAATCAGAGTTAAGCCACCACGACACGTGTCCTTTTCCCCTGGTTACAACAGAAGGAAAAATCAGTTTCACATCCTGAGAGGTTAGGCACAGGGTTGTGGACCTACAGTTGGAGAACAGGGACTGCCCCCTTGTCCCCCTGGCCATTTGCCTTTGCTCTGCACTCCATTTCATTCTCGCTGGGCCTCTGTTTCTATTTCTTGCGTCATCTTTGATCTCCTTGTCTCAGAATGATTTGGTAGAATGAAATCCCAATCGGTGCCCACGGTGACCGTGTCTATCATCAATTCCTCCTTCAGTGACCTCAGAGTATGGAGCTTGATTTGTATCTTACATTCCTACAATGCTTTGTGTTATACAACATGCTCCTGTAGGTAGGCAGGGCAGGGATTTTTTTATCCTGATTTTGGAGATTGAGAGAAGAGAGAGGCTCAGAGAGGTGAAGGGTCTTGCCGGAGGACTTCTTTTGTGCATCCATGTAAATAAAACTCTTAACCTGATAAGGAAAGTCCCTTCTCAAAGCTCAAGAGAAGAAAGAGCCTACGGAGCATTTCTCAAGCTGATGCAGGCCGTACGGGTAGCAGCTGGCTTGCGCTTTCCTTTTGTACCTTAACATTCAAATATGTCTCCTTTCTCCTCGGGGACTGAACCTAAGTGTTCAGAAACATCAAGTCCCCACGGGGCCTTTGCTCTGGGCACCCATGGCTATTGGGTGGGCAGGGCTGGGATTCAGTTTGGTGCTGGGAATTACCACAGAGGGGCAGCCCTCGCAAACCCTTCTCCCTTCCTCATGCTGATGATGGTGTTCCCCTCCCACCCTCCAACAGAGAATGGGGCCTTCTTCTGCAATGAGTGTGACTGCCGCTTCTCTGAGGAGGCCTCACTCAAGAGGCACACGCTGCAGACCCACAGTGACAAACCCTACAAGTGTGACCGCTGCCAGGCCTCCTTCCGCTACAAGGGCAACCTCGCCAGCCACAAGACCGTCCATACGGGTATGGCCCTGCCCCACCCTGCCAGGAGCTCTTAACTGTGACTGGGGGCAGGACAGTGTGGGACCGTGCTACCCAGGGGTAAGGCAGGGAATAGGCTGCATCTTGGCCAGAGCAGGGACCCTGTCCTGTCTTTGCGTAGCAACTAGTCACCCCCTATATTCTTAGCTTCTGAGACACTTTGGCCTGCTTTTTTTCTTTGCTAGGGCCAGAAATGTTCCACTGTACAGGGTAAGAAACTAAGGCTGACAGAGACAAAGTAGATTGGATTTTTGTAAAGCCAGAAAAAATTAAAGGTCTTTTGATTTCCTCTAAGGGCTTGTTCCTTATCAGCTCATTCCTTTATAAGGTAACTTTTAATAACCTGATTGTTGTCTTGGTACTTTAAATGGGTCTGTTACCCCAGAGACTTTCCGTGAAGGCGGTCTCAGCCCTTTCACTGATTTGCTCTGATTATGCATCTACTAAAACGCAGGCCCCACCCCTCCTGCAAATGGAATCTCTTTTCCACATGGGAAAAACATGTTTCTCTAAAAAAAGAGAAACTAGAGTCTCCTGAGTGAGTGAGTTGATTATTGAACAGTCTTATCAAAATCAAGACCTAGAAAAGCCTTTCCAGGTCATCTAAATTTGCTACTCAGAAAGAGAAACTGAGTCCCGGAGAAGGACAGCGACTTGGCCACGGCCCTCAGATGATCCTGTGATCAAGCTGGGCCCGGGCGTTCCTGATATCTCTCTCCCTCCTGTCCTGTCCCTGTGTTGTCCTGCCCTCCTGGCCACTCCGCCAAGTCTTTCTCTTGTGTGTGACAGAGACGCTTATGGAATCCCTGATGCCTTCCAAGGGAAAGGAAACTGAAGTGGCACCCGGGAAGGGCAGTTTTCTAGGAAATCCAGTGACTGGGACTCTGAAGACCTTTTCCATTGAATATAGTCCCTTTCTCTTGGTAACAGGTGAGAAACCCTATCGTTGCAACATCTGTGGCGCCCAGTTCAACCGGCCAGCTAACCTGAAAACCCATACTCGAATTCACTCTGGAGAGAAGCCCTACAAATGCGAAACCTGCGGAGCCAGATTTGTACAGGTGAGCAGAGAGGGGTGAGGAAAGGACCCCTCAACTTCTGCATGCTGCGTGGGGGCAGCAGGCCACCCTTACAGAGCCTCTCACACTCACTCTTCCCTTTAGGTGGCTCATCTCCGCGCCCATGTGCTCATCCACACTGGCGAGAAGCCCTATCCCTGTGAAATCTGTGGCACCCGTTTCCGGCACCTTCAGACTCTAAAGAGCCACCTGCGAATCCACACGGGAGAGAAACCTTACCATGTATGTGTACCTCTTGTGGCCACGGGCTGGTCTGGGAGGGACAAGAGGACGTGGAGGCTGGGGAGGCTGAACTCTCTGCTCTGATTGCAAGCACTCAGTGAGATGACCACCAAGCTCATGGTTGTAGGAGCTAGAGTTGGGTGTCACTATCAAGGATCCCTGCCGGACCAGTCTGTGTCTCATTTTGCTCATCGTTAAGTGGGTCTATTGGGCTAGATGCTATGAGCCTTAGGAAAGAGGACTGACCTATGGATACATAGGTTTTGGAGTCATTCCCTCATTCCACAAATACTTACTGAGCACTAACCATGCGCTCACCTACTGTGCTAGCTCTCTACTTACAAGGAGCTAAGGTATTTGAGAAGGAACATGATTATGATTCAGAGAGAAAAGTTCACTTCAGGAAGGTACTGGTGGCCTGTTGGGTCATACCAGGCATGAACAGACCCCTGGATTCATAGTGTTCCAGTCCAGGGTCTTGATCAGAGGCAGCTTGTGTAGACATTTTTGAACATTCTGAGCTAAGAATGGTTTTAAGATTTTTAAATGGTTACCAAAAACCAAAAGAATACTATATTATGACATACATCATATACATTTTCATGTCCATCAGTGAAGTTTGGTGGGACCCAGCCATACTCACTTGTTTACATGTTGCCTGTGGCTGCTTTCACACAACAGTGGCAGAGCTGAGTGATTATGTCAGACACTGTGTCCACGAAGCCTAAACTCCTCACTGATGCTTTATCACAATAGTTTGCTAATCACTGTTGGAAAGGGGAAAGATGTTGGCCAGGCAGCTGGGTTTTGATTCTGGCTTCCGTTCTTACCCTTTTTAAGGCGTTGGTCAAGCCCTGGGCCTTTTGCTGGGTGATGGTGTTCTCTATAAAATGATGGGGGTGCAGTAGAACACATTTCAAACTGTGTTCTGCCCATCCTTGAGATCTGCAACCCTGCAGGCAGGGTTGGCACTTCAGCATCTTCTACCTTTCGAGTTTCCATTTCATTTGTAAAAGAGTCCCATCCCTACCAGTGTATAAACACATATCACAGATGATGTTGATGCCGATGAATTTACAGCATTGCTTTAGTGGTGGTAGAACTCATCAAGGAATGGTTAACCCATAGCACAGATGTTAACCTGAAAAATGTGGTTGTTTTCACCTACTTGTCCATCAGTCACAGAGTGATTACTTATTACCTTTTGACTTGGGGCCCATTAGATATCCACTCAGTATTTTCATTTCTCAGCTACAAAATGCACCTGATAATAGAACTGATCTCATACAGTTCTTACATTAACTAAATGACTTCACTAAATTCATGATGAATTTAGTAAGGATTTGGCACATCATAAGAATAAAAGGAGTATTTGCTATTTGCTGGAAGTTTGCATGTACTGGATGTCAGAAGGAAGAGTGATGTGGTGTATTGTCTCAGTCCTCTCTAGCAGGGCAAGCCAAGGCCCAGAGAGAAGGGACGTGTTTGTGACACACAGCAGCAGGTAGCAAAAATAAGATGCACCCTCAGTCTTCCAAGACCAGGGTTCTTCCCACTTATTGTTCTGCACACTTTATTTTTTATTTTTCCAAGCATATTTCCATTTTTTACTTTAAAGCATAGTTTCTATATGATCACTTGTTATTATTATATGTTTTACTTGAGAATAGTTTTATTTTTATAGAAAAATTGCAAAGATAGTAAAAGAGTTTGGCAGGTACCCAACTTGCCTTAGTGACATCTTATATTGTGATATGCATAGGTTATAACTACTGAAACTTTATTATAAAGTTTGTTTTTGGGTTTTCTTATGTTCTTTTACCCAAAATGACCTTTTTCTGTTCTGGTGTCTTACCCAGTTTACCCCATTATATTAGTCATCCATTTTACTTTTAAGTTACTTTTCCACTAAAAGTATTTTCATTGAATCATAGCAAGAAACAGGTGTTCTTGTTCATACATTATTATCATATCCAAGCTGCATGCACTAAGAAGAAAATATTACTGCACTTCTTAAAGCATATTCTAGGCTCCAGAGTTTTCATGAATTCAATGTGATCTAGAACATCTGTCCAAACATGTTCAGATTTTTTGCATAATCAGTTTATTGCATAATATACCTAGAGGTATATTTTGCTAGGTACTAGGAAGATTATAAAATTTAGTAAGAAGAGGTCATGGCCTCCATGCATTCCCCAGCAGATAAGGCTGCTATTGCACAGGAGAACTATGTGGCAAGGCTGGAAATCCTACAGAGGGTCCATCCTAGAGAGATTCAGGAAACCCTTAATAATTAGGGGAGTTTGCAAATGCATGCATTTTGGGATAAGATTTAAATTTGTGAAGTTAAAGCAGGGCAGTTTGCCTCAAAACCCTATGGAAAGAAGGGAAAGAGCATTTGCACAAAGCTGACTTGTGCCATGGCAAAAACCCGCCTTCCTGTGCGTTCTTCAAGGGAGCTCTGAAAGAGCTGCCCAGCCTCCACAGGGCTTCTTTCTGTAGGTTTCTAAGCAAGCAGTGGCACGTAGGTTGTAGGTTGCGTTGGGCTGAGGACACCTAACTGTGTGCCTCTCTTTCCCTTTCAGTGCGAGAAGTGTAACCTGCATTTCCGTCACAAAAGCCAGCTGCGTCTTCACTTGCGCCAGAAGCACGGCGCCATCACCAACACCAAGGTGCAGTACCGCGTGTCGGCCACTGACCTGCCGCCGGAGCTTCCCAAAGCCTGCTGAAGCATGGAGTGGTTGATGCTTTCCATTCGAGCCCCTTCTCAGAATCTACCCAAAGGATACTGTAACACTTTACGATGTTCATCCCATGATGTAGTGCCTCTTTCATCCACTAGTGCAAATCATAGCTGGGCTGGGGGTGGGGGGAGGGGCATGGGGACTGGGAGCCAAGACTGCTCCCTTCCCCCACTGCCATAAAACATTAAGAAAATAATATTGCTTCTTCTCCTATGTGTAAGGCAAACCATGTCAGCAAAAGGCAAAATCATTTTATAGCATCAAAGTGGGGGAGTTTGCAAAAGTTCTGACTTGACTTAGTCTGCAAAATGAGGAATGTATATGTTTTGTGGGAACAGATGTTTCTTTTGTATGTAAATGTGCATTCTTTTAAAGAAAAGACTTCAGTATGTTATCAAAGAGAGGGCTTTAATTTTTTTAACCAAAGGTGAAGGAATATATGGCAGAGTTGTAAATATATAAATATATATATATAAAATAAATATATATAAACCTAAAAAAGATATATTAAAAATATAAAACCGCGTTAAAGGCTCGATTTTGTATCTGCAGGCAGACACGGATCTGAGAATCTTTATTGAGAAAGAGCACTTAAGAGAATATTTTAAGTATTGCATCTGTATAAGTAAGAAAATATTTTGTCTAAAATGCCTCAGTGTATTTGTATTTTTTTGCAAGTGAAGGTTTACAATTTACAAAGTGTGTATTAAAAAAAAAAGAACAAAAAAAGCAGCCGAAGGAAAAAATGTGTAGTTTTGTTCTAGTTTTCGGTTTGTATATACCTGTACAACGTGTTCTACGGTGCCTTTTTTCATGCAAGTTTTCAATGATGGACAAGTGTGCCATCCCTTTTTGAAGTGTGGGCAGACACAGGGACTTGAAGTTGTCACTAACTAAGCTCTCTTTGGCCATGTTTGTCTCATCACATTCTGCGTCATGCTTGTGTTATAACTACTCCGGAGACAGGGTTTGGCTGTGTCTAAACTGCATTACTGCATTGTAAAATATAGCTGTACAAATACAACAATAAAATGTTGAAAAGTCAAGTTGACACGTTCTGGGGGTCTTTCCTCGCACAAAACAGGCCCTTGAGTGGGGCTGTTTCCTCAACCTTTAACCCAGTCAGAAAAGCTCACAGAGGCAAGAGCTCTGGTGGGTGGAGTCCTGGAGAGAAGAGCCAGGCCTAATTCCTGATAGTTGGCCTTGTCCCATATTTGCTCCCATGTTTGCTCCGGAGAGGGATCATAGACTTGTAGGCCCTGGTCATGAGGAGTTCAGGATGAGCCTCTCACTTCTATTTCTGGCTGGGTCCCGCCTCTGTCTGTTTTGTCACTCAGAGCTGTAGTCTGAACTTTGAATGACTTTAGTTCTAGCCCTTTTGAAACATACCGTTGTGAGTCCTTTCTTCCTCTGGACCTTGGAGAACTGAGGCATTCTGTGAAGTGAGAAGGCTCACCCCACCTCTTAGCTTTATCAGCACCTGCTGGGCCAGGAGGCAGTGTGAAAGCATCTGACCCACCATCCATTTGTCAGCTTTTCTGCCTTTGGACTGCTGTCTGCTGGGTGACTGACAGTTGCTGTATGGATAGCAGCTAGCCAAGCAAACCCCTATCCTTGTAGAAGTGCTTTTTGCCCAAAGACTCTGGTAGAAGTCAGTCACCTCTTCCTGTATTACTTGGGACAGCCATTTATTCCCAACTCTTCTTCCCAGTCTACCCAAGAAGAGAGTGGGTTAACTAGATTGTTTATGGTTGCATGATTCAGACATAATTCACCCGAGCTGACTTTGGCACCCAGTTTTATTTTACCTCAAAGAACCCCAAGGATCAAGTTTGATTGACAGGACCTAAGAACAGTGAGGACAAGCACAGTCCTGGCCACTGGCCCAGAGGAGGAAGTCCGAGCACTCCGTTCTTGGGTGGCAGCGGGGTGGAGACATGAAGCAGAGCTATTTCCCAGGCCCTTAGGCCACGGGTGGACAGTGGTGGCCACAGGCAGGGCCTTGCGGCAGGCCCTGAGCACGTGCTGGAGAGTGTAAGGGAGCCGACCCCCTAAGTCCCAGAGAGAGCCTCAGAAAGTGACACTACCCTCTGCCAGCCACATGGCCTTTCAGCTTAGGTTTCCTTTGAAAATGACTTTAAAGGACTTGCCAGCTCGAGGCCTCAGCTCACCCTGCTCTTTGAAAAGGGAGAAAATGATCCCTCTGCTCCCATAGAAACTTGGCAGAAGAACTTAAAGAACAGAAGGCTTCAGGAATGACAATTCACAGGTCCGAGAAAGCTGGGCCCAGGGCCCCTTTGCTCCCCGAGGGCCTCCGAGTTTGTTTATGTATCATTACTGTTTAATAGAGAGACTAGGGACCCAGAGCAGACAGTGTGGGTGGCGTCCAAGTTCAAACAAAAGGGAAGATCAAAGAGTGACTGCCAGCCAATTGGCGATCAATAAAGTAAAAGCAGGCAGCTTTGAACAGATAAGCTAGGGCAAAGGGAATATGGAATTTTATTCCAAAAATGTAATGTGAATTCAACTTTTCACCAATAAATAACATAAAACATGTACGATGTTCTCTGTGGTGGGAACTTTAGAGGAAAGCCTTCTGAGGACCAGAGTGAAAGTTGGGGGTGGAGCTGGAGGAAGGAGGTGGTTAGAATCAAATAGATCTAATTAGGACCTAGAAGAGGTAAGGGCTGGTAAAAATCATCTAGCTTAAATTTGCCCTTGGCCTATAAAGGGGCAGAGGCAGAAGACAAAATGAAGCTTGCTTACTGTCGCTCTGTGTGTGTACGTGTGGGGGGGGGTAAGGGCGGAGAAGGGAGAGGGAGAGATGACTTCTCCTTATGCCAACCTAGAGGGAAGGGAGAACAAACAACAACATTTCCATTTCAGAAGGAAACTGAAGCAGGGACTTGTCCAAGTTCACTTAGCTAAGAAGTGGCTGACTTGTCTGAATACATACAACTGGCCACTGGTAGAATTTATTTTTTTTTAATTTATTTATTTGGGCTTACAGAACGGGCGTACAGGCCAGAGATGTGGTGGGTGAGAAGATTCTCCAGAGACAGAGTCAGGAGCAGAACGGGCACATCAATGAAGTACACTGCTGAGGGGAGCAGTGGGCGTGGTCAGGGGAGGTCTGCTGTGCCATGTGGGCCAGCTCTCTGGCTGGGGATTGAACTCATGCTGCAGTGGCTTTAGAGAGCTTCATAATGTGGTGCCTTAACCCATTGTGCCATCAGGGAGGGTCCCCACTGGTAGAATTTTAAGCATTTTCTTTTTATTGGGAAAGATGAGCTTTTCCCTTTGGAATCCAAGTTCCCATTCTCTGTCACTCAGTTATAATTGTATTAATAGCAGTAACAGTATCTTGCCTACGGTAGGCGGAGGGGGGTGTGTGTGCTTATGACTATCAAAGCCCTCTTTTAACAGCTGATACAAGAGGGTATTTCTTATATCAGGGAGCACACTCAGATCACACAACCAATCTCAGGGTAGAGGCTACAGAGAAATGGAAACCACACACTAACCTCAGAATCTCTGGGAACCCCAAGATTGCAGTTGAACCAGGGGCCCAGAATAGCACAACAAACTGCACCTGACTAGAATTTTCCAGAAGGAACTATTTTGTCCTCCCAGCCTGCTGCTGAAAGATCGGAATTTGGCCTATTCCATGGCATGTGATCTACCTCTCTGATCTCTGACTTGTTTAGGAAGGATGCTGGGTCCAAGGTCAATCAGGCAGGCCTATAACCTGCAGGTAAAGTGCACCCTAAATAGAGGGTGTTTATGAGTTGGGCTACTAAGAGTCCTGGGAATTTGTAGTGAAATATGGAGAAACCCAGCCAGTGCGGTGTTTCTCACTCTCCACCATTTTTTATCAGGATTTTATGATAGCAACATAGCTAGAAAACCTATGTACTATTTTTCTTTAAATCAATAAACTTTTGAGATAGTTGCCCTAAATACAAATGAAATAAACACTCGATCATTCAAAATAAAAATATTCACTCATATGCCTTCTAGAAATTGTAGTTTGTTCTAGCAAAGGCATTCTTCAGAAGACATTAAGAGAATGGAATGGGAAAGAGAAGCAGAAAGATTCAGACCCTTTGAGAGTATTTTGGTTGCATAAATACCACAGCACCAGAATGAGGTCCCAGGAGGAAAGTTAGAACTGGAATGACCTTCCGCTTGTCACTGGGGAGTTCTGGTCTTAGATTTCTAGAAGATTCTATTCCTATTATAACCATCTCATAGTAAAGTTCCTGCCTCTGTTTCTTCAACCACTCACCATTACTTGGACCAATCTGTGTGAAATTCTGTATCCTGGAACTAAAAGAGCAAAATGCACACAGCTGCCTGGGTCTCTGGGATTTCTGGCATTAGGAAGACCCTTAAATACTCTTTGATTGGGTCCAGGTATCTTAGAGGGGAGCTGTGACATGTGACCACTCCAAAGAAGGAGGATACCTGGCTTGGTATACCTAAAACACTGTAACCACTTGGAAAGACATTGCTCCTCCAATCCCGAAATCAGCCCCTGGAAGCTTCCAAATGGCACACAGCAGCCAGGCCTGCCCTGGCCTTGGTGTCTGAACACACAATCCAGGTTCCTGGGCTATGCCCTTGCACTAAAGGGGTACAACTTTTCAGCAACCACTAGGAACTTGAACTTTTAAAAAGTCAGGTACTGAAATAGGAAGACCTTGGCGTGTAGGAAGGGGACCAGGGGGGACTTGGAGCCTCCTAGACTAAATTATTGCCCCACCCCCAACCTTTGGGACTTGCCATCTTGTTAAATGCATCTGACTCACTGCAGCCTGAATGACTGACTTCTCAGCACACTTAAAAGATGAGCTTGCTGGGTCTCTCCCTCTCTTTTGCACTCCAGGCAGGTGGAAAGGTTAAATATCAGGCATGATCAGAGGGGCTCCAGCGATCACTATCCTATTGTACAGGTGAAGAAGGAAGCCCAGAGGGGAGGGCAACAGGCCTAAGCTCGCATATAGGATTTTTATCAGAAAGGCCTCTTGACTACCTGTTCAGCCTTTGAATAAAGTATTCATAATGGGAGGGCGGGGCAAATATGGAAGTGAAATCACAAAGAAACATGAAAGCGTGTATCGTGTTATAGCTAATAAATGTCATTCCTAGGGATTCCGCAGCTTTGAACACAGGTTTGCTGACAAATCAACAGCCCAAAGCCCACAGGCCAACTGCTGAACTGGTGGCCCTGGGGAAGCAACGTCGAGGACTTGTCGGGACTACTTTCTGTGGAACTGCGGCGCCTCCTTCTGTCCGGACAGAATGGTCCTTCTTGAGGCCATGGACGGGAGCCCTTTCTGAAGTGGCCAAGGTTGCTGCTGGCACCGGAACAAGCCAGTGATGTAAACAACAGGAATGTATTATCTCACAGTTCTGAAGTCTGAGATCAAGCATCAGCAGGGTGGGTTTCTTCAGAAGGCTGAGAAAAAGCATCCTATTCCAAGCCTCTCCCGGCTCTCTGGTTTGCTGCCTCGCTTTGGCGCATCTCCATTTACACAAGTATCTGCTTATTCTCCATCCTCTCCCTCACGGGGTGTTCTTCAGTGTGGGTGTGTCTGCGCCCACATTGCTCCTAACTTTATGCAGATGCCAATCACATAGCCGTGGGACCCACCGCAAGGACCTTGTCCTTACTAATATGTCTATATGGGCCTGATTTCCAAGTAAGGTCACAGCCTAAAGTGCTGGGATCTAGGCTTTCAAC